AAACTAACTCTGCTTCAGGCAACCGCCTATTACCTGTAGCGGCTCGGCGTTGCTGCCCGTCCCCTCCCTCTATGCTGGGGTTTTGTTTGGCTTGAGCTTTCACAGTTTCGAGCATGCTTTCACAACTGCTGTCAATTCATGTGTGCAACTGCCCTGTTGGGTTCTTTTGTAGTCATCTACAATCTTTGGCTCTTATAATCTTCCTGCCCCCACCCCTTCTTCTACTGTGATCCCTGAGCCTTGGTAGGAGAAGAGAGTGATAAAAATGTCTCATTTAGGACCAAACACTTTATAGTTCCTTATTCTCTGCACCTTTACCAAATATGGGTCTCTGTGTTAATTGCTATACACGCTAAAAGAAAAAAAAAGAGCGTCTTTGATGAGGTTTGAAAGATACACTAATCTCTGAGTGTAACAAACAGTAAATCATCAGGAGTCAGTTTAATACGGTGTCCCTTTAGCAGAGTAATAGTAGGCTCTCCCCTAGAGCCTATGACCTGTCTAGCTGCAGGTTCCTTACGCTGATAATGGTACCAGGTGTAGGTTCCATCTTGTGGAATGGATCTTAAATCTTAAATTCCTATGACATTCATACCACTATTACACCAGGGGGAATATCTTACCAGGCTGCTTTTTATTGTAGCTTGTAGGGTTCATGGTTGCACATAAGATTGATGATTAAGGTTTGGTGGTTTCTATTCACTATGCATATTCTACTTTCTGCCTCTGTGCTGTTAGTTTTATATAATCTAAACAAGTCATATTATCTTTAGGAATATGTATGTATGTATGTATGTATGTATAGTTTTACTCTGTAGCTCTGATTGTCGTGGAATTCACCGTGTAGACCAGGCTGTTCTAGAATTCACAAAGATCCACCTGCTTCTGCCTCCCAAGACTGGGATTAAAAGTGTGAGCCACCACATCTGACTTCAGGAGTAATTTTTATATGAATTTGAGTTCTTGGTTACTTAATCATGCTGTTAGTGTGCCTTATTAAAGGTAGATTGTTTTGTTTTTATTTTTTGAGACGGGTTTTCTGTGTAGCCTCGGCTGGCCTCGAACTCACAGAGATCCACTTGCCTCTGCTTCCTGAGTGCTGGGATTAAAGGCGTGCACCACCACCTCTCAGCTGTTTGTTTTTGTAATGTGTGATTGTGTGTTTATATTGAGCAGGGCTTGAGGGCTGTATTCTGGGGTGGTTCCTCCTGTTGTCCACCCTGCTTCACCTGGAAACTATCATTGTTCTCTGTCCAGTTTTTAGGTCCATTTATCAACCCCTTAGATAATGTAAATTTGAACCCTTATCGTGCTAGGTATGGTACTGGTAGATAGAAGCATTCTCTCTCTGTCTCTCTGTCTCTCTGTCTCTCTGTCTCTCTGTCTCTCTCTCTCTCTAAGACAGGGTTTCTGAGTGTAGCTCTTGTCTGGCTGTCCTGGGACTCACTTTATAGACCGAGTTGGCCTGGAACTCACAGAGATCCCACCTGCCTCTGCCTCCAGAGTGATGGGATTAAAGGCATGGGCCACCTCCACCTAGTTCTGTTTCCGGTTTTGAATTCTCCTGGAGGATATTGCTCATACCATGGCCAGAACCTGGCTCGAGAGGGACAAGCTTTTGTCATCTGTGGCAGCTGTGTTGCTCTACAGCTTGGATCACCGTTTAAGAGCTTGCCATTCAGCTCTGCCTGTGAACACCTTTTGGAATTTTACCTTGGTTTTGATGTTCTGCTCGACAGGGACTGTGAATAGCCGGGGGTTGGGGCCTGGTCATTTCTGTCCGGTGTAGGATTCCTTCAGTGGACAGCATTTGCTCTGGATCACCTTGCTGGGCTGGTTCAAACCGCCAGTTCTGCGTCATGCCTTGCTCCTGATTTCCAAACCTGCTTCCTCACCTCTTCCTTTCACAGATGCTCCACCTGCCCTGTGCCCTGAGATTGTAAACCCTGCTTCCTCGTTCTTTCATCTTCCACAGGCAAGCTTCTTGTACTTCAAACTGTCTCAGCATTTGTTTCCCAGAGGACCTACCTTCACATGGTACTATGGTGCCAGGATGTGTTTTTGAACGTGTGTGTTGATGGCATGGTGTACAAGGTTTTTGTGGAGTCCGGTTTTGCCTTGGACTTATGGCTATTCCCTTCTCCAGACCCATCCAACCCCAGGTAGGTACAACTGGGACTTCTACGATTGTAACGCGGGCATGCAGTTGTCTTCATTTTGGGCACATAGTCTTTCCCTTTATTTTTTTTTGTCTTGGATTTGTATTTGAAAGCATGTTTATTAAGTCTTATTCAGAATTTCAAGATACACATATCAGCAATATGTTTGGGTCATATGGTTCATAATATCTGCATTTATTACTTATAAAGTTTTTTTAGATTTATTTATGTGTTTTACATGCATGTATGTATAGTTTTTTTAGAGTTGTTTATGTGTATGAGTGTTTTGCATGCATGTATGTGTACAATGTGCATGTTTTGTACTTGCTGAGGTCAGAAGAGGGTGTCAGATGTCCCAGAACTAGAGTTATGGATAGGTGTGTGCATTCTGGGAGTTAAACTCAGGTCCTCGGTAAGACCAGGTGCTCCTAACCACTGAGCCATCTCACCAGAAATGACCTCACTTTGCAGTCCAGTCTGGCTTAGAAAGTTCATTCTGTAGCCTAGCTGACCTTTAACTCAAAGTGATCCTTCTGCCTCAGCTTCCCAAATGCTGGGATTAATAGATGTGAGCTACCACACATGACACCCCCACCCCTATTTTAAAAATAACATAGAAATTATTTGAGAGTATATATTAATATCTAAATGGTCTTTTAATATTTTTTAAACAATCATGTTACATTTGTCAGTTACACCCAAATTAGAACTGTCTTACAGTTGTCAATGAAAAAGGGCAGTGTTTTGTAAGCCTACTGCCTTGTTTTTAAATGGGCAACTTCCATAGACATCTATAAAGTAGCAAAGGGTTGGATAAGGTGACAGATGGCATCTACACAGGAGTCTTGGAGGAATGCAGGGCTGGTGTCAGCTCCACTGACAGAGACCAGAGGAGGCTGGATGAGTCTTTGAGCCAAGACCCAAAGGGGGGGGGTAGGAAGGTACCAGGCCAACAGGGTACAAGGAAGGGAGGTGGACGTTGTTCACAGTGGCTATGGCATGGAGTTTAGGGGAGAGCCAGTGGCTTCGATTGTCTGGGGTGAGATGCAAATGGGACATGGGAAAACACAATGAAGCGGCCCCACCCAACCTCACAGGCTTAGAAGTGCTATGCTGAGCTTTAGATTTTAACTAGCAGATAATGGAGAATCATTTATCAAACCAGGGAGCAATAGTGACCAGGTTTCCCAGGTAGAAGAGTCACCCTGGAGCAATGTAAGGGATGGAATGGGGCCTCTGTGGCAGGGAGACCTTTAGTGATGTAGAAGAGTTGAGTGTTTGAAAAAAATTATCACAGGATGGTGGCTTAGCAGTTAGTTAAAAGCACTTGCTGTTCTTGTACAGGACCTGGTTTGATTTACAGAACCAGTGTGGAGGCTTAAAGATCCAGTTCCAGGGGATCAAACACCCTCTTCTGACTCCTGAGGGCTGCAGCACATACATGGTATACAAGTACACACACACACACACACACACACACACACACAAAGAACTTAGTTACTATCCAGTTTTTTTTCAAACAGGGTCTCACTATGAAAACCCTGGCTTACTTGAAACTCTCTATGCAGCCTAGGTTGGCTTTGGATTGCAGTGACCCTCTTGCCTTTGCTGGGATGATAGAATACACCACCACACGGGGTTCTTGATGTTACGGATGTGGTGAAAATGCAGCTTTGACCCTCTTGTCCTTTGTCATCTGGCAAGGGGCACCCAGCCCGGGATGGAGAAATCCTTTATTTGGGAACCATGGCCAGGCTCTGAGTTTTGCATTGCAGTATGTGGGTGCCTGCAGGAGTGGAGGGGCTGGGGTAGAGCTAAGGCACAGTGAACTGGGAAGGACTCCGTGCTGGCTTTCAAATTCTGGAGACAGCCAGTGGGGGAGACGACCAGAAGTGAAGGAAGGGTCACGTTAGCAAAGAATTAGGCACCACCATGATTCTCCATTATGGGCATGGTAGAACCATCCTTTGTCTCATTCTCATGTCCTTCATGGAAGAAAATATGAAGTGAAAAATAAAAATTTTAATACAGCTTTCTTCTTCTTCTTCTTTTTTTTTTTTTTTTTTTTTTTGAGACAGGGTTTCTCTGTATTGTTTTGGAGCCTGTTCGAACTCTCTTTGCAGACCAGGCTGGACTCAAACTCACAGAGACCCGCCTACTACCTCTGCCTCCCGAGTGCTGGGGTTAAAGGCGTGCGCCACCACCGCCCGGCTACATCTTCCTTCTTAATTATGTGTGTCTGTGTGGGAGTGTGTGCTCATGAATGCAGGTCCTCAGGGGCCAGGGCATCAGATCCATTGGAGCTAGGATTACAGGAAGTTCACAGCACCTAACATGAGTGCTGGGAATTGAACTTGGGTTCTCTGAAAGAGCAGCAAGTGCTCTTAACTGCTGAGCCATCTATCCAGCCCCCAATATATTTTTTCTTTTCCTTAAAAATTATGACCAAGACAACGAATGGCAAAAGTGTGAGGTAAAGTACCGACAGTAGTTAGCCTTGGGGGGAGTGTGGCAGAAACGCTTCTGGAAGCAGCAGGACCAGGATGCAGCTGGAAGTATTTCTGCCTCCCCAGGCAAGCAGGGTGGGCGGGCTCAACAGCTTGTATCCATTTTCTTGATATCCCATAGTTTTCTCCAAGAGTGTCCTATTTTCCTGAATACCATCTCAAAGAGAACTAAACCATGTATACTTTGTTTATAGTCTGTGGCGAAGTGACCCCACACATAGTCCCCAAGGTGGCCAAGTGTTAGCGATGGTGGTTCAGAAATGGCCTCCTGGAGGTGTTTAGAAGCAGCAGGAAAAGTGACCAAATGTCTAAGAATGGAATTCATCAAACAGCCTTGGTGCTGGTTAGGTTTTATTTTAACAGGATGTTTTCTGTTCATTTGTTTTTCAAAATATCAGTTATATCAATATTAGAAGTGTAAACAGGTACAAAATATACAGTACATAGAAACAATCTTCTTAACTAGTCTATTTCTAATAAAAGTACGCAGAAGGGAGCTGAATGGGCGCCATGGTCTCTGCCCTCTTCAGGGAGTCATTACCCATTTGGGCAAGAGGACGGTGGCTGCTTTAACAAAACGGGAATGGCTATATGTGGGGACAGCACTGCTTTGACAGAAACTGGGACCTAGCTCTAGTTCCACTGTGAAGATACTCCAGGCAAGCCTGAGAAGGCCGTTTACCCAGTTAGTTACCTGGCATTCCAACTACCTCCGAGAGCCTAGTGATGCGGAGGCGTGGGGCGGGGCAGGGGGGGGAGGGTTGGAGACACTCGGGGAATGGCTGGCCAGCGTGAGCTGCCAAGGCAGTTCTGTGTCTTGATGATCTGATCCATTTGTGTGGGACAAAGCTTTTGCAAGTCCTCAAACTCTTTCCTTCCCTAAACTGATGTTCCACGAGAGCCAGGGCTCAGCTGACCTCTTCCCAGTTCTTGGAACACGCGGCACTAGTAGTAAGGGCCGTGTCCTCTTTGAGCCCTTTATCTCTTCCCTCAAAAGAAGCACCTGTCTAGCTGCTTCCCACAGTCATGGTAATGGAATGGGATGTGGGTGGAACCATTTTGAAAATGAACACACTACACAATGGGTGGTCAACAGAAGCATCTATGGGTAATGAACACATATACCCCAAGATGATGGCCCTGGCTTTCTGAGACTTCATGGTTGAGGGCCCAACACTCTCCAGATCTAACACTACTACAGTGAAGTACCACCTTAGACAGTACCACAGATGGCTCAAAACAGGGAAAAGTCAGGCTAGGCTTTAGGGGCCTTTCAGAAGGTGAGTGCTGCTTCTAGTGGAGTACTTTCGCTGAGCGGAAGCTGTCAGTCTAGGCCTCAGCGCCCTCATAACCCAGGTCTAAGGTCTAGACCAGCAGCCTGGACAGAACCAGAACTCACCTGCATAGGATTGTGTGGCCAAGACTGTGAGTGCCCTTGCCTGCTCCTCCCACTGACCACCTTTCCAACACTGCTAAGGTGGACACGCACCCCTGAAAGCCACAAGCACACCTCAGAACTTCAACTGCTGTTGCTACTGTTTTCCATCTTTCCCCTCAAAAATTAAAGAAAAAAACCAATAAAAAAGGGTTTGTAATTAAATTACTTAAGATCCTACTACGGTGTTCAGTCTCACAGTCGGAATCCTACACTCTTTAAGGTGGAGGCTGCATTGATAGTTTCTTTCCAGTGATCAGTTCAGCAACATGGAAATTTGGTTCTCTGCCAAGTCTCCCTTTGCTTCTGAGCTTTCAGGCCACCCTGATGTCTGCACACGGGGCTTTGTACATGTGTGGCCTGCAGGGGCCACAGGAGGGTTGGGGGTCCTCACAGGTCCCCACTACCATCAGTGGGTCCCAGGACACTTAGGCCACAAGTCCAGTCAGTCACAAGGTCTGTGGAGGCCATGGGTCCTTTGGCTGCGGGGCTCTTGAAGGGGTCGGGAGGAGCTGGCAGTGGTGGGAGCGGCTGCCCGTGAGTGGGTGCCTTGGCCACCGCGGGGTGGTTGCGCTGGTGCTTGCGGAGGTGGTCCTTGCGGATGAAGCTCTTGCCACACACCGTGCAGGTGAAGGGCCGCACGCCCGTGTGTGTTCGGTAGTGGTCGATGAGCTTGGAGCGCTCTGTGAAGCGCTTCTCACACTCGGTGCAGGGGAAGGGCCGCTCACCAGTGTGCAGCATGCGGTGGCGGATGAGGTGTGCAGGGCGTGTGAAGCAGCGGCCACACTCCCCGCACCGCAGGGCGCTGCTGTCCCGTGCGCTGCCCCCACCTCCACTGCCACCGCCGCCGCCTCCAGTAGTGGTGGAGGCGGCCCCAGTGCCCGCCCCGTCGGACAGTCCACAGCTGCGCTGATGCGCACTCAGGCTCACCTGCAGCTGGAAGCTCTTTCCGCACGTGGCACAGGTGAAGGGCCGGCCTCCGGGAGGCGCTGCCGGGTGCTTCTTCTGCCCCGGTTTGTGGCCAAAGCCTTTGGTCCGGCCCGGGTATTTGCAGGGATCGTTGAAGGGTCTTGGGGCCTGGCTGGGGTCTAAGATGGTATCGCCACTATCCGGAGAGGAAAAAGGGAGCCCCTCGGCCACCGTCCTCGGGTTCAGGCCCACTGGAGGTTTACACCGGAAATTCCAGCCCCACCTGACGCCACCGAAGAGCCAATCCCCGGCTGGGGCCTCCTCCTGTGCTATGGCAGGACTGAGCTCACCAATGTCCCTCTCTGGTCGCGTGGGCTCCCGGAGGCCCAGCACCGGGTCCTGGCTGGGGAAGGAGCTGCCTTGGCTTTCCCAGGCTCCTTCCTGGATGGGGCTGGGGAAGAACCTTGCGGCTTGGCCTGGTGCAAACAAAGTTCCATGAGCCTCCAGGTCGGTGGGATGCACAGGTGTGGCCACCACTTCCTCTTCCTGGACTTCTGTTTTGATAACAATTTTTACGTCTGCTGAGAAGAGAGAAGAGCAGAGATCCTTCTGAACATTTTTAAAGGACAAAAATGGTCAGCGCCTTCATCTGGAAGCGCAGCAGTTGGCCTGCCCATGGAGCATCACAGCTCAAATGAGCATCCTGTCCTGGTTGTACGGCCCGCCAAAAGCTTCCCCTGCCCCGGTGACTTCCCCACAGGAAAAGCGACCCCCAAATTCTGCTCTCAGATTCTGTTTTCTGTTTCTTTGGCTGTTAAAATAAATCACGAGTTTATTCTAAGAAAGGGTCTCTGAGTGTGATGGCCATGTACTAAATAAGGCAGAAGCATGAGCATGGCCTCCCAGGCATCTGGGACTCTGTACAGCTGTCAGGCACATTTCCTAACCGCAGCTCCACTGCGAATGCCCAACTTCACAGGGCGACAGGATGAGCCTGGACACCACATCTAAAGGTACCTCAGCATGCCATCTGGTACACAGTAAGTGCAGGTATCTTATGACCAAAATGCTGCTGAATGAACGGAACTGCTTGACTTTAAATGCATTGAATTTCAGCCCCAAGGCTTGTTATCAGGGATCTTGGAGTTTTAGCGTATTTGGGTGTAGGGATGGTAAAAGATGACAGAAATTCTAAGTAACAGACAACTGGCTTGCAAACAAGAGAACGAGTACAAGAATGTGAGGGTTGTTCTTCCCAACTCTGGCTTCCACGGTCTCTGGCAGTACCAGTATCTAGGAAGTGGTTTTAGCTTAGTCTGTTTGCATCTGTGCCCTGGGAGCCACAGGTTGCCTGGGAGGATGTGTGTGTGTGTGTGTGTGTGTGTGTGTGTGTGTGTGCGCGCGCGCGCGCGCGCTTATTTGAGCAGACTGGCTAACTCTACATGAAAGGAACTGGCATCTATAAAGAACATGGGCATCCTCAAGAGAGGCTGTTCCCATCAGAGTTCTCTTGAAGAGAGCAGAAGACACAGGGACCTACAAGATCAGACTCAGGGCACGGTGGCTGGAAGGATGGGACAGTTCACCGTAAGAACAGGGCTCCCAGGCCAGGCCTTCCCTCTCCTCTCCTGCCACTCCTGTACCTTCTGTGGATGCTGCTGTGCTGAGCTTCAGGGTCCCATCTGAGCATGCTGAAGACGGGTGGTGGGGAGGGAGATCTGCTTGCCAGGAAGTGGGCGGGATGGTGGTCGAAAAGTTGGAATGGACACCTGTAAGGAAAGGAAATGGCCATCTGTGGGTCAGGGAAGGAAAAGGACACGGGAGAACAGTGAACATGAAAACCAGGGAGAAGGCCAGGGTGGTGAAACCCTGAAAGCCCTGTTCTGAATGACCGTGTGCCTTGGCCTCTCTGGAAAGTCAGATGTTATCAACTCATTCTCCTTTCTCCAACAAGAAGCTATGCCTCGAGGTAAGTTTGAAAAACTGCTTATCAGGCCAGATTTTTTTCTTTTTTTTAGAAAGATTTATTTTATACACATGGGTGTTTTGCCTGCCTGTGTGTCTGTGTACCACATGCCTGCCTCATACCCTCAGAGGCCAGAAGAGGGCATCCGAGTCCTTGTGATAGTTGTTAACTGCCATGTGGGTGCTGGGAATTAAATCTGTGTCCTTGGAAGAGCAGTCAGTGCTCTTAACTACTGAGCCATCTTTGCAACCCCTAGGCTAGATCTCCTGAGAGCTCACAGTTCCTCAAACACTTTTAGGCACCTTCCCAACCTCTACCATAAGTCCCTAAAACTCATCCCAGAGTCTGCTCCCCTGCCTCAATTACTTACCAGAGTTAGCATCCGTGGAGATGTCTCCTGCCCCAGAGTCCAACTGGCTGAGGCCCCAGGGCTCTTCCCCAATATCTGGCTGTCCAGCTGCCCAGGCTTCCACACCTAGACCCTGTTGCTCTTGCAGCTGGAGCTCCCCCTCCTGCTTGATCTGCATCAAGAGGTCAGGGGCAGGAACTGGGGCTCCGGAGCCTAGGAGAAGGAGAGCGTGTAAGCCCCTTAGGCCTGAGCTGGATGTATATATGATCAAGGAGATACTTAGGGTCTAACAGTACAAGAAAAGATATGGCAGTAGGTGCCTGGGTTGATGAGAAGGAAGGACACACAGACATATTCAGGGTTAGAGCCAACCCAAGGGTAAATCCTAGCTGCCCTGGAGGCCTGCTGCCACTTGTATGTAACATAGGAAGTCTTAATCTCTCTTTTCTTTTCTTTTTCTTTTTTGAGATAGGGTTTCTCTTTATAGCTTTGGAGTCTGTCCTGGAACTTATTTTGTAGACCAGACTGGCCTCGAACTCACAGAGATCCGCCTGCCTCTGCCTCCTGAGCACTGGGATTAAAAGTATGCACCACCACCACCACCACCTGGTCTAACCTCTCTTTCCTTATGTATTCACATGAGCTTAAAAGAAAGTCTAGAGGGGATGGAGTGAGGAGCTGGGGATTATATTCAGATGGTGGAGTACCCACCGAGCCCAAGGAGCTATCAGTCCAGTCCCCGGCACTGTATAAAACAGGTATGGTGGCACACCCAGGTAATCTGAGGACTTGGGAGGTAGAGGTAAACGGATCAGAAGTTTAAGATCATCCTTAGCTAAACAGAGTTTGAAGCTAGCCTGGAATAAATGAGGCCCTGTTTTCCAAAAACAACAAAACAAAAACAAAGGAGGTGTGTATGTGTACATGTGTGGGTGGGGGTGGGGATTACACAATGGTAAATGGCCCAAAGAGTTCTTGACAAATAGCAAAGTCCCTGGAATCATCTCTGTAGATGTTAACAATGGCATTCACAGCTTCTGTTTCTGACTAACAGTAGCTGGACATGCAGGGAATCAGGGAAACTCCCCAAAGTACGGGCATCTAAAACCGTGGGGAAATACAAAGGTTTTAAGCACAGATGACAACCTACAAATACAGTAAACAGAAGCTGGAGCTATTGGAAGATTAGTGAGTGCTGCCTGGGTTGAGGGAGTATACATATCCAAGCAGAGTAGGAGTGAACCCCACAAAGCTACCCGCCCAACAGGGCGGGGTCAAGGTAGAGATAAAAGGTAGTAAAAGGAAAAGGGGCCTCCCTTTTTTTCTCCTGGAAGCCAGCCACGCTTCTAACTCCTGGTATGTGCGACTCTCTCTTTCCCTGATAAATAAATATATTGTTTTTCCCTATATAGCCTCGATTATCGTTATAAAGCAGAGTAGTGCTACCTACTGACTTCTCCCCAAGAACACCCCAGTCAGAAGAAAGAGGGACATTATCTTCACAGGTAAGAGAAAATAACAAACTAGAACTCTGTCTTTCAATTACCAAGATGGAACAAAGGCATTTTCAGACAAATCCATTACACATAAACCATCAAATTCATAAAAAGTCACCCCATGCTGGGTGGTGGTGCACGCCTTTAATCCCAGCACTCTCAGGAGGTAGAGGCAGGTGGATCGCTGTGAGTTCAAGACCAGCCTGGTCTATAAGAGCTAGTTCCAGGACAGCCTCCAAAGTCACAGAGAAAACCTGTCTCAAGAAAAAAAAAAAGTCACCCCATGAAGGAAGGGAAAAAAAAAATCCCCAAAGCCCTCTGGAAAGAATAAAAAAAAATGCAACTTTTTTTTTTTCTTTTTGGTCTTTTCAAGGTAGGGTTCTCTGTGTAGCCCTGGCTGTTCTAGAACTCACTCTGTAAACTAGGCTGTCCTCAAACAGAGACTGCCTTCCTCTGCCTTCTAGGTGCTGGAATTAGAGGTGTGAGTCACTACCGCTTAACAGACTGTAACCTTCAAACTAATTAAAATAACAACATTCTGAAGGGTGGGGGAAAATCTAAATGAATAAACCTCAAAGGAAGAATGAGGGAAATGCAAAAGAGACACGAATAAGACTAACATTCAAGGGAACTCAGCAGAAGACCCAGACAAAGCGTGACCAAACCCTTTTCTGGTTTTAGAGGGCACCAGGCATACAAGTAGTGCACAGACATGCATGCAGACAGAACATCCATACACTAAAATTAAAAAGTTAACAGAAAGCAAAATAGAAATCAGTAATTCCATGGAGTTATATGTAAACATATGCATGTATCTTTGTAAATAATTCAAGGGTTTAAGGGAAAACTGAAATGCAAATCAGTTGCTAATGTTGCTAGATGCTAATATTGATGAAAATATTGTCACAATGTATGGGCTGGAGCAACAGTGGAACATACAAGAAATTTTGTAGTTTTGCATGTTTATAGTAGAAAAGACAGCATGAGGATTAATTAATGGGCTAGTCAGGTAATGCAAAGTATCACAAAAGAAGCAATGCCAACAACAAAAACCATTACTATTATTTTTGAGACAGGGTTTCTCTATGTAGCTGCAGCTGTCCTGGACCTCACCAGGCTGACCTCAAAACAAAAGCCTTTCAAGAGCAGAAGGAAGCTACACCTGTGCTCAGGCCTCTAAATCCAGCTTCTTGGCAGGCAGTGGGAAGGGATGATAAGCATGTTACTGAAGGTTTCCTGAGCAACGTTCTGAAACCCTGCCTCGATAAAGAGTGGGAACAAACCAACCAACCAAAGACAGCTGGGGACAGTGCAGAGGTAGAGAGTACTTGTCTAGCCTGTGAGAAGCCCTAGATTTAATACCCAGTTTGAGACAGAAAGACTTGAGAGTGGAATTAGTACATTAGAATAAGGGAAAACAACGTGGAGAGCATAAGATTAGTTTACTGAAAAGAATATTAAGTCAGTTCATCTCTAGTAAAAGTTCCAGGAGAATGGCCTGAGAATGAAAAGAAGGGGGTGGGGCATAGATGCAGCTGCGGTTAAAATGGTAAAAAGCATACTGCAAATGGTATTCTAAATGAACAAATCCCTAGAAAAATGACAACTTGTTAAAACTGACCAAAACAGGAACAGAATACCAAATAATCTTTAACTAAAATACACTAAATCTGTTGTCTAAAGCTTCCAACAAAGAACATTTGAGACCCGCATGGCTTCAGTGGTGTCTTCTGAATACTCAGAATAGGCCATTCCAACTCAAGCAGACTCTTGGAGCAAATGGAGACCACATCATGGCTTGTATCTGTAATACTTTAAAAGCAGGAGGAGACAGTCTAGAAAAGGGAAGTTATAGTCTAACTGACAATCAACATAATAAACCTACAGTGTACAGAAATGATTATGATGCACTAAGGTTGATTCCAGGACTACAAAGTTGGCTCAATTTTAGGATATAATGTAACTTACTGTATTAGTACACTAAAGGAACAAACAAAAAACCCTATAGTCTCAATAGATGCCAAAGCTAACAAAAAAATCCATTCTATAAAACTCTGTAGTCCCTCCCATCGGATGTTAGACACCTCTAGCCACCCAGAATTGTAGAACTTATCAATGGCATTCTCAAGGTGGAACGTTCAAAGCAGTCTCTTTAAAATCATGAGTCATTAGAGTGCCTATTATTATAGTGATATTTTGTTTATGTTTTAACAAATAAAGCTTTGCAGAGGCAGGTGGATTTCTATTTGAGATCAGCCTGGTCTACAAGAGCTAGTTCCAGGACAGCCTCCAAAGCCACAGAGAAACCCTTTGGTTTGTCTTGAAAAACCAAAACCAACCAACCAACCAACCAACCAACCAACCAACCAACCAACCAACCAACCAAACAAAACCAAATAAAGCGCAGAGCTAAGCCACTAGAGGCCAGGGAGTGGTGGCCACACCTTTAATCCCAGGACTCAGGAGACAGGCAGAGGGTTCTGTGCTAATTCAAGACCACCCTGGGCTACATGAGATTGAATCTGTCTAAAAGAGAAACAGAGCTCACAAAGGGATCCCAGCCTTTAATCCCAGCACTAGGGAGGTGGAGACAGGAGTGATACGGCTGGGTGGAGAAGGGAGCGCAGTGCAGTCTGAGCAGTCAGTGTGAGGATGCAGTCTGAGGACAGCATTGATCCTTTGGTCTGAGCATTGGTAGAGTGAGAATTCTCTACCGGCTGGCCACTCTGCTTCTCTGATCTTCCAGCGTTAACAACTATATCTGACTCTGGGTTTTTATTATTAACACATTATCATGTGTATATCACCAGGGTGCCCATTTCCTACTGAAGCCAGATTTAAAACAGAAAACAATACATCATTATTAATTAATGATGTGATTAATTTCTTAGGAAATTTGAAAATGATTAGATAATTATTAGAAAAATTATTAGTATTAATGAGAATTTCAGTAAGATTTCTAGAAATGTCAACAAATAGAGGCAACTGCTTTTTTGATTTGTTCTTGTTCTTGTTCAAGACAGGGATTCTCTGTGTAGACTTAGCTGTTCTGGAACTCACCCTGTAGACCAGGCTGGCCTGCTTTTTTGATACACCACTAGTGTTTTAAGGAGCCAATTAATTGCTACTTTTCCTCTGAGGACAGGATAACCCCTTTGGCCTGAGGATCCTAACCTGAGACACAATGGAGGAAAGAAGTGAGGCTAAGCTATTTTTGTGATGGTAATTCAGACTTTGGCTTTTATCTGTGGACAAAAAACTTCTTTACAATGACCCTAGTATTAGCCTGGGCTGGAGCCTGTTCCTAGTAGGGATGTTGAGGACACCTGTTTCAGGAGGTGACCAGTGGCCCAGGGACTATGCTGGTGTAGCTCCTGATCCTCACCTCTCCTTCCTAGTGTGTTACTCCACACTACCAGAGACTGGCTGTACGAAGGGCAGAGAACTGAAAACAGCCCTTCCACAGAGCTCCTGCTGGATGGGAGGGGTTTCCTGCCTTTAGTCTCCATAAATCAGCAATAAACAGAAACTGCCAGTTAAAACAAGATATCATTGAGCTTAGTAATTAAAAAACAATAAAGAAACCAAATTACACAAGAAATGAAGAAATATAACTAAAGAAAAAGTATAAAACCTTTTGGCCATAAAATTATAAAATCTAATTGAGATATTACAGATGGAATAAGTACTGCAGGTCTTATTGCAGTACTTATTGAC